TGGAAAAGGTAACAGATTAAGGTTCACTTTAATACCCAGCAGTCATATTAAACCTATACAGATTAGCATGGTAATGTTTGCTACTCTGTCTAATGTGTGATCACTCTATATCAAAGGATACCACAGAGTTTAGGAAGGCAAAATATACTGTGATACTGTGGTGTTTTTCGGGGAAAGTAATGAATGTCATGCAAAGGAGATTTCATTTATGACTTCCTCTGGGTGAACAAAGCGGCACATGAATTACAGTTGGGTAACTGGACAAATATGCGAGGATAACAAGCGTACTACAGCAATTTAGTAAGGCAGATAGTCTCATGTATGAGTCAAGCCCCCAAAACACCAGATCCTACATTTCCCATAATGCAACTTAATAAGGTCTCTTTGTTTTGCCATGGGAAATGCCCCAATGTCTTTCTCTTATAAAAGTGCTCATCAGAGCCATTTTCATTTAACACATAGGACTAGTAATAATAACTATCCTGAAAGATGCCTTCATAATTCAGCAGCTATACTTGTGGATCACATGCATAGGTACAGTAGATATGGGCATATGGACACAGCGCATACATTATGTTTGCTGTAGATGTGTGTCAGCATGAACATGAATGAACGTGTATGAAGTGCTCCTCCTAGCCTGACTGCAGGACAACAAAGGGAGGGGGGGGGGTCATCTGGACATCTGGCTGACCACTCCCCATTCTTCACTCCTTACAGCAGCTGATTACCCTCATTAGCTCACCAGACAGGAGGAGACCAATACATTCTATAATTATCATCACTATTGTTTACTATTACTTTAACATCAACACAAGCTTGTTAAATATATCAAAATTATGTTATCACAGCCTTAAAATATGCACCACATATATATTGTTAATATATTCTGAATTACTAGAAATCAAAAGGGAAACGGGTGCATTCGATTGTCAGACATCATAAAGAGACAGCTTTTCCGTGTGTCCTTGGTTTGCATGTAAATGTTCGCGTTACATCTGACCCAAAAAAAAGCACACAGCCCCACTCTCTCCTATTTCTGCTGAATCATCTGGTCCTTCAGGAGGTGCAATACTGCAATTCAGTATCAGGCCACATGGGGGAAAATTGGCTGCCTGCCATACTGAAGACATCTGCTGTACATAAATGCTAGAGGAAAGGGAAAACATAATATATATTATATATCATATACCATTATAGACTGTGGCAGTGAAGGCTGTTAATGGCCAGATACAGGTTACATTTATAATCAGGAGCGAGAAAGTAAAGTAAATATATTATATAGGTTAGTTAGGATGCGTGCACCGGCCCAGTCCCAAGCTGCCTTCTGTCAGGCTGTGAATCAATAACAGCACATGATTCACTGAGGTGTAAATAATAAGGACAAAGAGTACAAACAAAATAGTGAAATTGTATCAATATTCTCAAATAAATAGAGCTGGGTGGCTTCAATCAGTCCCCTAGAATTAGACACACAACAAGTCTGTTACTCTTCTGCTAGCTGCTGAGTCTCCAATGAATCACTGATTGGAGACAACAGATAAGAGATCTGCCACTACAACAGAAACAGCAGCAGGCCTTCTTGAATCCAGCAGTATCAAAGCTGCAGAAACAATGAGTTGGACTTGCATCAAAGGCCAGTACAGTACATTTCAGAGCGTTTAGACATTCACAAAATAATCATTAAACAGACTTTATGTGATAATCTGGAACATTTCTAATTAATGTGTCTCTTTCTTGTCATTTTTTTGACGTAATAGATTCTGCTGCCAAAAGAATAAAAGCGCATATCACAAGTGCTGATTAGGTGTTTCTCAAGAGAAATACACACAGAGGAAGACATTAAAAGAACAAGATGTTGCAGTACTGGACATACTGTGTCCTAATTAAAGAAGTAAAAAGTGCAAACACAGCAACAATGTTATCACAGTTAAGAAAAACGGAATTTCACCTACTACTCACTAAATATATAAAACTGCTCTGTAATTGATATCCCCTAAAGTATTACACACCACATAGTGTCATTCACGAACATGATCAGAGCAAACACAATCGCTGCTGCTGATTTCAGACCAGAGTTGACGTCAGGCTGATGATACGTTGATGCATTTAGGCAGACAATTACATTTTATTAGATTTGACTGTAATCGATGACATATTGCATTACATCAGATCTTTCCAAAACGTTTAACTCTTTCCTGCTCCTTGTAAAAAGCAATTTGCTCCATTCATGTGTGTGTGTACCAACCCTGAAATGACTAACTAGTCATCATCCTCACTTTGTCAAATGGCGTCTTTCCTCTCTAAGCCATAATTGTGAGTGTGTGTGTGTGTGTGTGTGTGTGTGCCAGAGGCAGAGAGAGAGTGAGACATGAATCATCATTTTTGGTCCTGAAAGTGTGATCTTAGTCTGACATTAAAATTAAAAGAATCAACTTTCCTGCTCAAAATGAGTGCCATTTAATAGTGTATGTAGTAAGTTATCCTGATTGGTACGCAGGAACACTAACCTTTGTGCCTAAAAACTCAGAAGCCTGCACTTCTGGAGTCGGACATAAATGCAATTCATCAAAACTCACATTGCAGTTTTCTACTTTGCACTACAAACTCAATTAAAAGTGCTTCCACATTTTGAACTTTACCACCTTAAATTATTTTTTTAAATATAGATTATTGGAGAAAAAAAATCCACATTGAAAGACAAATTTACTCTTGATTTCATCAAAGAATGGAAAAGCCGGTTTTAAAAACCATACTTAAATTGTTTTCCTTTCGTGCTTATCATGGTTGCTCTAATGGAGGGTCAAAGAGACAATTGGACAATTGTTTTTACTTGCTCTGTTTTATTACATGTTGCTGAAATATTAAAATCCAGCCTCTCCTTTAATCTCTCTCTGTGGTGCCATAAACACAAATGGCATCAATAAAACATGTAGCAATGTCAGGATACCTATGACTTCTTACAACAATGGGCCTTTTTGGTTGACCTGTCACAGTAGGAAAATCAAACAAACAAACAAAATGAATGATGGCTAAATTCCATTTAACTACTTCAGTTTCAGGTATTGTGCATGCTAACTCACTGTCATACTGTCATGGTTTGCTGTGATGATGTTATTACTAACACCTGTTCTTTTCCTACTTTTACAAATCAAAAAAGGCCTATCTTGCATATAGCATTCTAGAAATTTTCTATGCCCTTTGAGAACAATTGCAAAGTTAGCCTATTATACTTTTTGGTTACTACTGCTGCTTACCAGTACTTCCAATATTATTACTAACTATGTGACTCCTAAAAGCACACCCTAGAAATCATGCAATCCTTTTAAGCAGCCACAACCGGCATAATAATCAACTCATGCATGATAGCAACCTAACAAAATTGCTACAGCAAATAAACACACACCATTGTATTAATTCCAACCACCTGATGTCATAGCAACAACCTCAAAACACCCTAGCGACCATGTGGAACATGTTAGCAATCTTTCATGTTGGGTTTTTACACAATATATCACACAAGAACCTCAGACTACAGTCTCCAAGTGACTGAATTAACTGACATCTGACATGGTCTCAACAAAAACAGATTAACACAGTAACTTTCATAAAGCTGGAATTCATTTCAGGTCTGTTTTTCAGGTTTGTGATTAGGTGTATCTAATAAAGTTAGATTAGGGTTTCAGATTTTCATATCATCTGAAGATGTAGTTGAAGTGTTACTTTAACGCCACCTGTGGGACTGTATTGCTGCTTCACTACACTCTGGTTTAATGTTCAGGTTTCTTCCATTACATCAGTACAACATTCCTGCAGCTTCACTGTTGTGTTTCTAGTGTGCTAATCTGCTACAGTGTGCTAATGTCAAGTGTCTGCACAAGTTTGATTGGATTTCTTCAGTAGCCAGATGTAGGTGATTCTAAGCTGTTCTGATTGTAAGTTTAAAAAAAAATTTAAAAAAGGGTTAGGGTTAGGATGTGGTTGTTACTACTATGATATCTCTCAGTACCTTGTCATTTAGGAGTGCATTACTGGCTTTAATAGGCCTACAGTTGTCACACAATAATGGCAGGATTATGTTACTAAATGTGTGGGCAACACTTGTTGCATTTGTTTCCACTATAATATTTATCATCATGGTTGCCAGCTCTGAGGTTTCACTAATACTTAAGTAATGTCTGCAGTGGCCTAGGCCTGGAGCGATGACAGAACTTTTCATTTGTCCAGCCTTGAGGCTTTCCAGCCTTGCTCTGTGGCCTTGGTTGCCTGAGTCATTTTTATACCATTTTATTGTCTGGATACACTGGCTGAAAAAGGGTTTAAGAATTATACAAATCCAATTCAATCCAACAAATTCTGGATGAATGGTGGCTCTGGATGGCAAGTCTGTCTCATTGTACCTTAAAAACTAATTTTGTTAGCTAGGAAATTAAATTGACTCCACCCGAGGCTGTTAACTATTTGTTTCATGCTCCTTGGGGTTCTATAACATACATTACACACTGATTAGCCTACTTGTTACAGGGCAATTTCTTTACGATGGTTTATATTCTTAATTAATAATCTGATATAGTGATGTGGCAGTGGGACCAATCCAATCAACAATTTCATCCATAATTGAGTTCCCAAACGCACTGGGCATAAATCCAACCTCTCTTAGGTGAATACATTTATTTAAGGCTTTGAAGAGGTAGAGGAAAGACAGATTTAAAATGTTACTTAGGTGTGGTCAATGTGGGCATTTGTGAGTAAGTTAATGGTGCTAATCATTTGCAAATTCAAAAGGTTCTACCCCTGTATAGCACCTCTCATTCTTTCATTAAATGTCATATTATTGCCTAATAACACCACCTTGCAATGAAGCATTGTAGCATCATTCTTTAAAACAATAAAGAGGGGAATTACCAGAAGAGAAAAAAGTCAGGCACACACACTGCAGAAACCACTCCTGTCATTCACACATGCTGCATCAGTCTGCTGCCATTCACGCAAAAGTTACTTACCTTTTCATCTCCCAGGTTCTGCAACACTTCCTTACCGCCGCCGGTTCGGATCTCAACCTGAGGTGAGTTTTTCCCTTCTCGCCTGTTTGCTGCGGGACTTTCCACACACGGGGAACTCTTGCTGTCACTCGCCGAGCTCCTCGCCTCCTGACCGGTCTCTCGTTTGGCGGTCCTCGGGGTGCGTGAGCCCCTCTGGCCGACGCTCAGGGCATCAAAGTCTATGGTTTTACTCTCAAACGCGCCCTCGACGTTGCAAAACAAGCCGCCGTATTTCTGCCGGGGCACCTGGTCGGCCGTGCCGGGTCGGGCGAGATAAACCGGCAGGTCGTCCTCTGCCATGTCCCAGTTTCCCCTGCGCTCTGCCATGGTGGAGCCCTGCACAAGTGACCGAGAAAGACGGTTAAACTAGTGCTGAAGTGGTGTGTGCCTGTTTCCGTGCGCGTGTGTGTGCGTGTGTGTGTGTGTGTGGTGCTGTGAGGAAGCCTGAGCAGACAGTCAGGCAGGAGTTGAGTTAAAGCAAAAGGTGGCACTGTATGGTGCATGATGCATAGCATGTGGCTTTCTCTCAGGTTTTAACATGGTTTATTTAAAAATACATATGATTGTGAACTTTGGTTAGTGTTTGTAGTTTAAATCAGCCAGTGAAGACACAAAGGCACCTGCAGCTGAGTAGAGTGACCAAGGGACCCTCTCATATAGACATACGTTGAACATCATCTGTATAAATACAATGCAAAAGCTATATGTATTTACTTAAGCAATACCTACATCTCCTTTCTTTTTTATATTTTTATACATATAAAAAGATAGCACAGCTGAAGATAGACTGGAAAAAGGGTAGAAAGAGGTGGAATCACATGCAGCAAAGGGCCACAAGTATTATAGGATTCAAACCCTTGGCCACTGCAGCAAGGGCTCATCCTTTGTACATGGGGCCCTAGCTCTATTCAGGCGCCCCTAGCTCTCTTTTCTGTCCCATATCAGAGTCAAAATACTGTATTTATCCTCAGAGATCCCCAGCAGTTTCAATGTACCTGATAGTAAGTGGACACAGGTGAGCACTTTGCAGGTAACACAGGTTTTCAAAGAGGAGCTGTCCCTCTGTGTCGCTGTCCTTTCAGCACCACTTAAGACATTTGATATGTAGCTACACGTGGTCAACCGGAAACTCAAAGTAGGCTAAAAGCTGATATGTCTTCAACTGCTCGTATGGGGCCCCCCACCCGGGAGTGTGTTCTTACGCCAGCACGAATGAGACAGGATCGTGTCAGCAGCGGTGGAAGACAAGCAGCTTTCAGGCAGCATGTCTCAAACCGTGAGACTGCTGAGTCATAGAGGACACAAAAGGCAGACAGGAGTCAACGCCGTCACTCAAACGCAGTTATGTAACCACTGCTTATCAGCGTATTTAATAAGTTCCAGTGGGGTCAAACTAGTTTCACAGAGGCTTTTTTTTTACTTCTTCTTCTTATGATAAAGTTCTGATAAAGGTAAGAATAAGAGAACAAATATGGCTGGATTTTGCCCTTGTTCATGCAGTTAAAAGGTTTTTTATTTATTACTACATTATATATTGCCTCATGTACGTCTTATATCTAACATGAACTATACCGATTGCCCACAGGCCATAGTGCCTTATCTTGTAGTTATCAAGTATAACATTAATCTGCCTCTGTGAATAGAATTCAAATTAAAATACATCACCCTTTTAACTGTTAAAACCCAACTTGTTGATATGGACTAAAAGTTGAAAGAATAATGGCAGTTCAGTCCTTCCACGGTGTGTCCGGTACAGTATACAGATGGCTTTGGTTTCACTGTGAGGTTGAGGCTTGATGGAAACTTTCATCAGCTGGATTAGAAATAACAAGCATCTGCCCTCCAGATCCCATTGAAGTGCTAACTGTGTGGGTGTGGGTGTGTGTGTGAGAGAGAGAGAGAGAGAGAGAGAGTGACAGAGAGCTCATAGAGACGAGAAAGAGTCTCAAGGTCAGTCACACTGTAGGCTAGAGTGAAGTCAAACAGGACACATCCTCAGGTCTCATCTAACAGGTTGTCATCACTGAATTGAAGCCTCGGCTGTTGAGGGCCAAGTCACTGGGGCCCGGAAATCAAGCCAGCTTTCAGTATCTCCCTATTATGCCCCCTCAGAAGGAACTAACTCATGCATGGGAACCAAACTTTCAAATGACTGTGGCTGATTTAATGTTTTTGGACATGTATACGCCATCTAACTGGCACAAAAGTCTGACTGCAATAATATGCAGCATTTGAACATTCCTTTTACTATCCCTTGCAAATGAATGATAGTATGAAGGAAATTCATGCTGGAAATAAATATAGTATCTAGTGCCATCCCTTTTAGTTCAAATGTGGTGTTATTTTGTCTCACAGTGGCTGACATTGCTTATTTTACATACTTTTCTACTGGCACTCCTGAGTCCATGAGTTCAAATGCATGGGAGAGTTAAGAAAAAAAGGAAGATCAAGCACTATATTCTGAAAAGATGGCTTAGTGAAGATTTTTTTCAGGGGACTGAAGCGGAGTAAAATATGATAAGTAGCTCTATTTCCACACATTCCTTGTTGAATACCACTGTCGCAGTTCTTGTGGCTCAGTTGGCATCTAGCACAGCAACTTGTCAGGCCAGCAGAAATTTCCCCTCACATGAATGTGATTAAAGCATCAAGGTTTGCAGAGATGCCAAGAGCATACTAAAATGTCCTGCCTCTGTACTTCTATGGTGTCTTACAGAGTCCCTGCATTTTAGGAGTGTCTGTCCTGTCCCCCTTTTGTTAGACTGTAAGTAATGCTGAGAGAAGGGGGACAAAACAAAATAAAAGAAAGCTGACAGGAACTTATAGATGTGTTTTGGCTTGCCACACATTCACACAAGAACACCAACCAGTTCAGATGCCTTGAAAATAATGAAATATTAAGTGAGAGAACAAGGACAGTGCTCAAAGGCTACTGGAGATGTTTGTCTTACTGTGGTCTGTACAGACTAGACTGACTGGGAGGCAGTGGAGCCATCAGCTCACACTGTCTGGCTTTCAATGTTGATGATGTCATGATAGCTACAAACCATAATAACAAAACATTGTTTATTTCATTTGGGTGAATCTTTCAGTGGTTCACTGTCAAAGTAAAACCGATCTGACCATCAAGAAAGAAAATTCATTCAGATGGGCTGCCTGGTATTTTCCAGAAAATAATATTCAAGGATCTGGACCTTCTGAATGACATCATGTGACAAGCATTGTTTGGCAGTTAGTCAAGAAGCTACAGGATATCCAACAGGATATTGCCCTGACTTAATGAGGCTTTTAAAGCAATGACAGCAGTGATGCTGGAACAAAGCAGGAGACTATCCCCCATCTCCATATTAAAAATGGATGTAAGGTAAGGGTAGTAAAATGAATGTCCCCCATAGCGCTCATGTTGCCACTGGCTTAAGTGCATGTTCATCCAGGCATGATGGAATGATGGCAGATAGGACAGAGTTTGGCAAATTCACGCCGAGTGCTCTTCATGGATTTGGCACAATAGGCCTTACGGCGAGTGAGACCTTTGAAGAAGTGGGTAAGTGGGCCACTGTTTCACAGACAAGTCAATAAGAGTTACTTCAAATGGTCAATGTAAATGCATGAGGTCTGACAAGTTCCAAATGGGTTCTGCATTGGTTCACCTTTATTGAATAAAATGAGGAGTGATGAATTAAAAACAAAATAATTATTCTAATAATGATTATTTATTATGTTCCACTTGCTACCTATTTTCTATAGTTGCATTTCCGCTGCAGGAATTTCCCAGGGACTAGGAACCTTTTGATGACCAGGGTCTACATTAAGTTCCAGGGACACATTTTTTTTACCCCTTAAAAAGTCTCTGCTTTGGGGGTAGTACTTTCCAACTAGTGCTTCTGTATCGTATGTCTGTCAAAGTAATTTTTGTTTTTCTGCCACAAAATGTCATTCTTAAGACTTGGTATCATGCACACTGTAAGATTTATTTAGCGTAACCATAAGTGAAGTCTAATCAGAATCAGAATCAGAATCAGAAATACTTTAATAATCCCAGGGGAAAATTATTTTTGTTACAAACTCCAGACAACAAAACAACAAATATTAGAAACATGTATATAAATATATATATTACATATTACAGGAAGGGGTAACTGACTCTCCAAG